GGCGTCCCAAAAAAAAAAAAAAAAAAAAAAAAAATTAAAATGGGCATTTGAAACAAAGAAAATGAGGGGTATTTGTTGGATGGGAATAAAGCAGGGTCTGTCCTGGTGGTATCCAGAGAAGATCCTGAATGCATTTTTTTACACGATTGAAAATATTACATTAATGTAAATTCCTTATAGAAATTAGATTATAAGAAGAAAAAGTCTGCTATGGCTTCCCCTAAACAAATTCATGTTTTCATTTGTCTGTCTCACATTTTAATCCTTTCCTTTGTTTGGAGTAATGTTATAGATGAAATTCTACCTTTTAATTAACTCTTATCAAGGTGATATATGGTGATCCTTTTAAAATGGTACAAAGATGTTTAAAACAAAACCCAGCAGGTCCCTGCCCCCCCCCACAACCCCTAAAACAGTTCCCCAAAGAGGATCACTTACACTACATCTAGTTATTTCTTCTGGCATTTGCCTCCATACTTCTAAATGTACTTATATTGTTACTCTTCATTTGTCAATTTTAGATATTACCGACTGAGTTACAATAGATGAAAATTTAAATTTCTTACATTACCTCCTCCCACTGCTTCCCCTCCCAGTCTTCCCATTGTGGTTCTATCAGTGCTCAGGCACTGGGTCTTACGGGTCTTAGTTTCGGCAGGCAGGCTCCTTAGTTGTGACTCACCAGCTCCTTAGTTGTGGCACACGGGCTCCTTAGTTGTGGCATGCAAACTTTTAGTTGCGGCATGCATGATGTGGGATCTAGTTCCCTGACCAGGGATCGAACCTGGGCCCCCTGCATTGGGAGCGTGGAGTCTTAGCCACTGCGCCACCAGGGAAGTCCCAATGGCCAGTGTTTATACTATAACAAATGCTAATCTTCACTGCTGAGGCAAGTATGTGTGCTTTGGTTGTATTTCTTTTCTGGTATTATTTCTCTTTCCTCCTGGAGATGATAATTCCTTTCGTTCTTCACTTCCATAATTTTCCACGTAACTAATGTTGGGTTTTTTTTCTATGAGATTTTGTCGTATGTGTTTGTCATATGGCAGATATTCCGATATTTGTCATATGTCAGATATTCCATCGGTTTCATTCTGTATTCTCCAACGCCAGCCTGGACCGATTACTCCTCAAGCCTGTGGCAGTGGGTCAGTCTTCCTTCTCAGAGGTTAACTCCCTCATTTTGCTGGAGCATATCCCACAGTTTCCTAAGAAAAAGTATGAGGGTGTGAGAAGTATAGGTAGATGAATTGATTTTTTTTTTTTTAAGTCTTTATGTGTCTGAAAATGTCTTTATTCTCCCCTCACACTTTTTTGATAGTTTGGCTGGGTATAAAAATCGCAGGTTAAAGATACTTTTCCCTCAGGACTTTTAAGGCACTGCTTTGCTGCCCTCCAGCCCACAGCCACTCTGATTCCTCTCTGTGTATTGCCTTTTTTCTCTCTCTGTAAACATTATGATTTTCTCTTCACTCTTGGTATTCCAGAGGTCTCATGATGGGCCTTGGTCTTAGGTCTTTTATTCACTTGCTGTGAAGGCCGTTCAGTAGGGCCTTTTTAATTTGGAAATAATCAGTTCTGGAATTTCTTTTTCTTTTCTTTTTAATTTCTTCCCTCTATTTTCTGTGTAGTCTTCTTCTGGAAATCTAGTTATTCATGTCTTATCATTCCTGAATTGATTCTCTAAATACTCATATATTGTTTGTATTTGTTCTGCTTTTGGAGAAATTTCCTGAATTTTATAGCCCAGTCCTTCTGTGGAATTTTTTATTTTCAAGATTTGTTCTTATTCTCCGCTTGCTCATTTTTCCACAGTACCCTGTCCTTCTCATGTGGATGAAGTGTCCTCTCTTATTTCTGTGAAACTGTTACATTTTGTTTGTTTTAATTTTATCCTGTTCCCAGCATTGTCTTATTTCCTCCAAGAGCTTTTTTTTTTTTAATTTGGGGGATTTTGACGTATTTTTCATACAGGAAATCCTTCTCAGATATCTGGTACCCTTTGGCTGTCTGAGAATATTTCAAGACTGAGGTCCTAAAAGCTGACTGGATGCCCTGTGTAGATGGGTGTTTTGATCACTGAACTTACTGTAAAGGTCAGGATAGTGGTGAACGTGGCCTGTCTGTTGGGCAACTCTCAGATATCGAAATCCAGAGGTCTTTTCTCTGGGCCTGGCTGCCAGCATTCTTTTTTTTTTTTTTTTTTTGGCTGCACTGGGTCTTCGTTGTGGCACCTCTAGTTGCGGTGCACAGGGTTCTCTAGTTGCGGCACTCGGGCTTAGTAGCCACACGCGGGCTTAGTTGCAGTATGTGGGATCTTAGTTCCCCGAGCAGGGATCGAACCCAGGCCCCCATGCATTGGGAGTGTGGAGTCTTAACCACTGGACCACCAGGGAAGTCCCCATGCCAGCATTCTGATATCAGGGCAGGGAAAGA